GGGGGGGGGGGGTAGCAGACATAATGATGAGAAAACAGAGAAACAAGCATCTTCAATGGAAGATGAAACCCTTGCTCATGGATAGCAGCATGGATTTGTGAGTAAAAAAAGTTAATCGACTGAAAAACCCAAAGTCTTAGTGATTGTTTTGTTGCATGTATCCATAACACTAACTGTGCCATGTTGCCGTTATGGATGAAAGTAATCAATCAATCAATCTTAGAGGGTCAACAAGGAAGTCGTTTGCTTTCAGGGCTTAGACAGCAGCAGCTTGTGGACCTAATGATTGAAAACTCAATTATGAAGTCAGTTATCCATGTGATTTGAGGCTGCTTATCAATCGATGCGGAATTTTGAGTACCGATTTGAGTTACCATTGCGAAAATTGTTAGGCTGCAGAAACAAACTCCAGCAGTAAAAAGTTTAACAAGTGACAACTAGTTAAACTAAAAGTATGCTTGTAGTGCGTTGGAGCTGTGCCTCAGTGCCCCTAGACTGCTGAAACGATTGGCAAATCCCTACATTGTTATGGCCTTCCAACTTCCCTGTCAGAGGAACTTTGAACTACTAGTATGTAAATAAGGAATTGAGCCTGTGTCAGATAAATTGATAGTTGTTTACTGTTGACCATGAATGTATGTATGCATAGCAGCCTCATTGCCTTTGTTCAATCCTGGGCTCTATTGGACGTTGTATACCCTTGTTTAATCCCGTTGAAGTTGCAGCCACTTGCACACTGGAAGCAAATAGATATCAACTGGATTGCATTTATCAAAAGGAAACCAGGGGTTGCAGTGTTTTCAAAATCGTGCAACTTCTTTTCTTTAAAAATACTTTATAAATGTACAGTTTTAAAAGTTAAACAATTATTTTCCACTAAAATTAACAATTTTTTGGTGAGAAGCAAAAACTGTTTGCTATTCCGAGAGATTTTTCATAGGATTATGTAAAAGCAACATTTTTACAACACAATAATTGCGTCGGTTCCTTTTTGCTAAATGCGATCCAATTCATCTAAAATAAGCTTGATGCATTACCTTTGAGAGAAAACAAAGCTGGCCTTCTCACTCATTTTATTTTTTTATTACGCTTAGCCGAATAGAAAGCTGTAAAAACTTGGATCATAATTATGCAAACGTAATGTTCATTTATAATGGATGATTTGGGATTTAAAATGTCCAGTCTAACAATGAGGAAAAACTTCGTTTTCATCATGTCACCCTTCATTTTTATCAACCTGCCCAATTTTCTTTTCTAATTTCAGATCCCACTCTCCTAATTTATCAAATAGTTCAATTAATAGTAGATTAATGGATAACAATGAAGCCAAATCCCTTAGGGTTCTAGGAGCTAATTCACCAACGCCTGCTAACTTAGCGTTTACACCCACCTCTGTCCTACGCAAAATGACGGCTGGATCCAACGCTGGTGACAAGGACCCTGCTCTGGACCCATTGAGCAACCTCTCCTCCATACCTGGAGAACTCAAACCTGGTAATAATAAATTCATGAATAATTATTTAAAAACATTCATTTTACCACGAACTTGTAAAAAATGATAAAAATCGCGTACTCACTGGCGCTAAATTAATTTAATCGGGACGGATTAATTGAGTTCGCTGCTGGCTGATGATGGGTCCATCTCAACCCCGAAAAGCGTCCCGATTAAATTAATTTAGCGCAAGTGAGTACACAATTTTTATCATTTTTTACAAAAATTGTCTTGTGACTGTCCCCCACAAAAGTTCCTATTTACTATGAACTTCTCATAAAATTATCTGTCTCAAGAATTTGTATCAAATGTTTGCTCTTTCAATTTGGCTTCTCAAAGTTCAGCTTCCTTATAGGTCCTTCTCCCTCAGATTTATGATACGGCAAGTTATGATAAAATTTGACAATTGGGCATCTTTAAACTGCCTTCGCATAAGAAGAGTTAATATCTTCTATAAGCGGGTATTTCAGCATCGAACTATCTTAATGTATGTACACTTGCAGCAAACGGAAAGCTCGTGTTCATTTAAGAATAATTTTGCCATGATTTCTTCAAGGATTCTTTTGTTCCTCTGTCTGGTCTCGCCATAGATAGATTACACTTTACTTCGACAGCACAGTGTAAGTGCTATCAAAAGCACTTACACTGCTCAGCAGAATCATGAAAATTTACCATTCAAAACACTAGTCATTATGACCATTCTCGCCTGGCACAACCAACAAAAAATGGTAAATCCTTAATATGATTCATATTTGAAATGTATTGATTTTACCCAGATTGGGTAAAATCAATTGTTGGGTAAAACCAATCAATTCTTTGATAAAATCAAAAAATTGGGTGATCAGAAACCACAGCTGAAAACCTCCTTTAACATATTAACCTAAGATTGCCGATCTTACCTGTAAGCAAGTAGCACCTTAGAAAAATTGCATTGTTTTATTTTTTTCAGGCCTAGACTCCAATGCTGGTCCTTTACCAGGATCACACTGGAATAACCCCCGACCGGTTGGGCGACCAATCGTGAAATCAAGTTCAATGGTTCCACCACCTACATTCCAACCAAGCATACCTCCTCCCTCCATGATGAACGAGTATTTGATGAATGTCCCACCACCTCCATCGCAGTACAATGTGATGCCACCCCGTTCTAAAATGTCACAACCCTCATCGCAGTACAACAATGCAATGATGATGGGTCTCAACCGCCCTAGCAACTACCCCTCCAGAGGTAAGATAAGTTTTAATGTTCACACCAATTTTTTTTTATATGTGATGTTGACAGAATTTTCGGTGTCTGACTATTAAGTAAAGGTGGGCAGTTACGGAAAATCTTAAATATTTCAGTGTTGTCAATGTTTTCCAATATTCGTTATTAATTTTTATATAAAAAATTATTTTTTAATACATTTTTTGTGAATTA